CCCCAATTCCCCAATTTAAAAAAAAAAAGTTTTCTCTCCAATGTTCTATTCAACTCTCCCCCTCCATCCCAATGGGGAAAAAAACAAACAAAACAACAACAAAACTGGAACACTAACACTTCTCAGAATAATAGTCAAGGATTTCAGTAAAAGAAAATTCCATGTGTAAAATGTTATCAAGAAAGTACTCTATAGGTAGTGGAAGTCGGGGTACAAAACTTGGAGGTTTTCCTAAGTATTGTAATGAAACCACACCATTTGTATAGACAGCAAAGAGACCAGGACCCTGAAAACATTACCTTATTCTGTGGAGAAAAATCCTTTATAAAGGATATTTGTACTCAGGTAACTAAAAAGTTATATAGAGAAACCCATTACATGTTAAGTGGGCATTTTGTGTTCAGTTTCCCAGGATTTGAACCCTGGGAAAGCCTTCAGGATGAAAACCTTTTATTTGGGAACAGAGGTTTGAGCCAGGTTAATTCTAAGGGTTGTTCCAGACCATCTTCAGGGGCCAAGTGGTATCTGAAATAGACCAGGGACGGATGATTAATTAGACACGGAGATGACAGGTGACCGCCATAGGAGCCTCTTACATGGAAGCAGAAAGGAACAGGCGGTAGGAACCTACGGCGTGGAGGAGGTGGGAGAGCAGCAGCCTTCTCGCTGCCTCCAGGGTTCCCGTCACACTCCTGGGAACCCTCAGTCCACGAAGAGAATGAGCTTGGAAGAGGCTGATCAAGAATCACCCTCCCGCCCCGCTCAATGGTCCCCTCCCGGAGTGGCCTCCCTCGCGCCCCGGACTGCGCGGCACCAAGGTCCACGGAATGTGTATCTCTGCACCTACAATGCAGTAGGGCCGACTTAGAGCCCTGGGTGCGCAACCACAGTGCAATCACTAACAGGTATTATTCCTGGGGCCTGTGCATCTATTTAGGATTTGAGAAAATTCTTCAGAAACCAGCTATGGTAGAGAGATGGAGGTTCTCCGTAGGGGCAAAGTTCTCTCAGCCCCGGGCACAGGGGTAGTACCTCGGGATTCTTTTCTATCAGCTCCCACTCCCCCAGCCTGATTTGCTTCTGTCAATTTATCCCTAAAGATAATGTCGAAGTGGGAGGGGCAGTTTTAAAAACACAGCATCCGAGGTCCCCCTAAGCGTGCAGAAGTTGCAGACATCAACTCGTACCCTCCAGTATCGAAGTGCACACGCGAGGCCGCACAAAGGGAAAACGACCTAGCGCGCAGGCGCACGCAGTCCCTCGCATGGCTTCCAGCCGTCACGCCCCCTGCCCCGCCCTGCCACTAGCCCCGCCCTACATCGCCCGCGGATCCTCCGCTCTTCCGCCCAGGCCGGCTTCACCTCAGCCTGCGCTGCGTCCTCCCGGCCTAGGGCGTCGCTGTACCGGCGTCTGCGCTCCACACACACATACACACACACACACACACACACCCCTCCCGTGATCGGGCGGGGGCGGTGTCGCCGCGGTCTAGGGGCGACAGGAGGCGGCGGCAGCGGCAGCGGCGGAGTCGGTGGTCCCTGTGTGATGGCTGCCTCGGTGTTCTGCTGCCTGCGGTGCTGCAGAGATGGCGGGACAGGGCACATTCCCCTGAAGGAGATGCCGGCCGTGCAGCTGGACACGCAGCACATGGGTAAGGGCCCTCCCTTCCCCAGACCCAACGGCCCACCCTGAGTCGGGTGCCTCAGGCTGGTCGGGGGCAGTAAGTGCGAGTTTGGAAGGACCACTCGCGGCCCTGCCCCGCGGGGCGGTGCCGCCCCCCGCTCCTCCCCCAGCAATGTTGCCTTGACCCCATTTGGTCTCGCGGATCCGCTTCAGGCGACTCCACCTCGGCTCGGTTCCTTGTTCAAGGCTACGCAGCCCTGTCTGCTCCTGTCATCGGGAGATGGGTGTGTGGACCTGCCCATTTTCACAAGAATCTCCTCTGAGCGGCCGCCTCCTGAGACTCTTCAGAGGTCCCCAGGCGAGGGGCGTGGGGAGTGCTCTGGCGCTCCTATAGTGCCCAGCCTTCGAGCTCCAGTCAAAACCCGCACATTTTCGGAGTGCTTTAGATCTGATCACCTCTCCTTCCGCCCTGACAGTTGTCTCTTTAACCCATCGTTTATAGGTTGAAGCTTGTTTTATTCGAAGTGATTTTTCTCTCACCTTCCAAAGTCAACACAAGGCAAATTGCAGAGCCTGGAATTGCAACCCTGGTCACAACCTGTCATTCATGTAAAACCCCCCACTCACTGCCCGAACTTCCTTAGTCACGGTTAAAGGTGGTGTAATTTAATCTGACTCGCCTCTGCCCATCAGGTCAGGCTATTGCAAAATAAAAGAGCACTTCGCTCTTTCGCATCTTTTTTTTTTCCTCCCAATTTCAAATGGTCATATAACTTCTCATCTAACATTCTTTCTCTTCCTTCTGTAGCCGCTGTCACCGCCTTATTATTTCCCATATGGTTCCATGCTTCTGGAATATGCTTCTAGAAGAGATTTCCCACTATAATTATTTTAGAGTACTGTCTTTTTGTGTATTATTCTGTTCTAAATATACTTAATGCACTGTGGATTCCCCCCCTCACCGAAACTGAAATAACAGGCAGTTCTTAATATTTATAGCAAAACCCTGTCCTGCCCACATTCTTCATAATTTGGGAAACATTCTGTCTCTTTTACTTTTCTATTTCTACAGCATAGATCAAACCACAAATGTGATAATTGTATACCTGGATATTTATTTTTAATTCATGGATTTCCCAAGTGTAATACAGAACCTTAATACATCAATATATGTATGTATGTGTGTATATACCTCTTTAAATTATTTCTTATCCATCATTTATAGACAGGGATGTTCAAATCCTATAATTTCCCACAGAAAATGTTTCCATTTCATTTATTCACGCAACTGATATTTACTGAGTGACTGTCAATCAAGTGGCAGGCATTGTTGTAGGTGCTGGAAACACAGTAAAGGACAACCATATTTAGTTCCTGGAGCTTATGATCAGCTTTAGCTCTTTCTGTCTACTGCCAAACTCCTGATTTAATGCAGTTTGCTCTTTTAAGCATTCCTTTTCTCTGGTCTGTTCTCTGTGAAAAACTGGTCCCTAGCACTCATTCCACTATGTTCTTTTTCCAAAGCTGACCAGCAACTTTCAGTAGAATAATGTCATTCCCAAACTTTCTATCCGTATGGAAATTTTTTCTTAGCCTGTCTTCTGGTAAGTTCAAATTCTTAAATCACAGAAGAAATGTGATTTTAGAAACTGAATAACATAAAAGAGAGAAAAGGAAAGAGTTAGGAGTACGTTTCAAGTGTAAGTTCTTCTGAAATTGAAAATATGAGCAGCATACTGAGCAAGTATGCATTTATTTGGATATGTGAAAGGTTATAGTAGATAACCTAAAGAATGTGATTTAAAAAATAAATAAAATAGTCAGTGTATTTCATATCCAAACTAATGCTGTCTCTTTCAAAGTTATCACTTATTTTGGTGATACTGCATAAAACCATTTTGGAATTCCTCTTTTGGCATAGTGTTTGTAAATATCTTTATTTTGCCATATCTTCTGCATTTAATTGTGAAATAACTTTTTAGAAATGAATATCTTCAAGGTAGCTACATTGAAAGAGATGCCACTCATTTGGAAGTGTCTAATGTTTCTTAAAACATACTCTTTGGCTATGTTTATATGTGTTCTGACTGTACTCAAATTTGCCTTCACTTTCTAATTACTAAAACAACATAAATCCCATATATCCAAATATAGGATATCTTTGTACTTAAAAAAAAAGAAGAAATGGAATCAGCTTAAAATAATTTCCTAATGATTCACAAACACTCCAGAATGTTCCCTGAATATATTCATCTTTCTATAAAACATCTCAGTACCAAGCAGAATGCCTTGGAGATGAGATATAATAATGAAGTTAGAAAATAAGACAGCCTATGGCCATACCATCCTGAACGCGCCTGATCTCGTCTGATCTCTGAAAATAATACAATGCTCAGAGTTGGTACTTAGGTTCCAATTGAGAGTAGGCTGTATTGTATTGAGGGTCTTCTGATACTTAGCACCTTAGGATGATATACAAGATAGTAAGTTACCTACTATAGAAGCTTCTTATTAGAAGGTTTTAGTATGTTGGGAACCACAGAACATTGCCAGTTAAGACAAAGAAAATACCATTTATTTGCATAATTCTTTGAAATGTGTTTCACTTAGAATGCTTTCAGTTACGAGTAGTAAAAACTACAACTCAGAATTGTTTAAACAGTGAAGGAAATTTATTGGTTCACATAACTAAAAAAAAAAATACAAAGGCAGCAATGAGCTCCAGGAAAGACTATGCTGCCAAGAGTTTCTTTTTGTCTATTTCCTTTGCCTTCTGCTGCTTATTCCTGAAGGCTGGCTTCCATGGTAACCTATGGCCCCTTCCTGGGTTCCCTCATTCAGGTCCAGCATGAATGAGAAAGTCTCTTTACCCCTACATTCTCTGCAAAAGCCCTGACTATCGTGGTTTAGGTAATATAACCATTTTTTTCATTCAATCACTGTAGCCAAGAAATGTGGAATGCACTGATTGACTTACCCTAGGTCAAAGCTATACCCCTGATGAAACTGAGTCAGCTTCCTTGGAACTGTTTTGATCTCCAGAGAGAAGTCTGTCGGGAGAGGGAAAACAGATGCTACATGTCTGCCACAAAGTGCTTAGCAGAGCATATTTATTCATTCATTTCTGTATCAGTGATTTGCTGAGTGTCTGCTAGATGCCAACCACTACATGGTCTTTGCCATCAAGGAGGAGCTGGGCCCTGGATGCTGTCCAGTTGAAATTGCTGGAGGTAGATTTTGTAGCCAAATGTAAATTACTTATAAAGGTACTTTCTCAGAATTTGAGGTTTAACATTTATAAAGAGAAAAAAATGGATGCTGATAAATTTTTAATAACCATATAATAGGATCTAAGAGAGTATCTGTGATAGAGTCTGAAAATTTAGAATTTTAAGAGTCTGAAAATTTTGCATTTCTCTTATGTATTTGTCCCAAATAATTTTTAAATATTACTTCAATAGTGAGTTAATGAGAGAACTGCCTCCCTGTTAATACCTTTTGTTACTACCCTTTAGTTTTATTTAACCCCCTCTGAAGGTGTCCCATACAGTTCTAATAGCCAGATCTGCTTAGCTTGTACACAGATCTTGGGAGTCACATGCCTTGGTGTTATACGATGTTTCTTATAATACATATTAGAATTCTATTAAGTCTCTTCATGTTCTCTGATATACATTCTTTCCTAAATCAAGATTTGAAAAGTAATTGGTATTGGGGTCACATTAAGAGACAGTGATTTTCTCACTCGTCTATCAAATGTTATTTGAGCTAAACTAAAAATTTCCATGAGAATAAAGATCTTTAATGATGTTAAAAGCTTATTTACATATTTGCAATATGATTGACAGTAGCTATCTTATAAACATTTTTATGATTCTAAAATTAGCATTTTCTAGTGTCAGCTATTTCAAGAACAAAGATGTATGTTCTTTTCCATACTCTGTGTACTCTTCAGTTCTTACTTGACTAATGCACTAGCATAGTACTTTGTATCTAGTAGATATTCAGCAGTTTTTAGTAGATTGTTTTAATTTATTTGCATTGAACTGAAAATTAGACTCATTTACCAAGGTTTCTAAGTGTTTATGTTTTTATTTAAATTAAGAGATTTATGAAATCATCAAACTGATTTATTGGCTAAAAATTAAAGAAAGTCTGTTTCTATCTTAAAAGTATTTTAAATATTCAGTATAATTCAGAAGTATTACAGCTTATTTGAAACTGCCTAATTAAATAAGATTCCATGCTACAAATGACTATTAAATATATAAATGTTCTTTTAGAAAAAATAATTAAATATTTAAATAATTTATCACTATTTCTATATTTCAAAGTACATGTAGTATCCCTGTTTTTTGTGGACCAAGAGTTAAAAATGAAACAGAAATTAGCCTTGATTATTGGATAAGAAAATATAAAACTTTACACAGTGTTTGCATTTTTTGTTTAGGAACAGATGTTGTTATTGTAAAAAATGGAAGAAGAATATGTGGAACAGGAGGTTGTTTAGCCAGTGCACCTTTACACCAAAACAAAAGCTACTTTGAATTCAAAATCCAGTCTACAGGTTGGTATAATCGTACTTTACTATTAAAAGTTCTAATTGTTTTAAATATTAGGAGTAATTTTCGATATATGAGAAAGATTAATGAGGTAATAAAAAGCACAAAGCTCTTACCTAGAAGACATTTTCTTCTACCTTGTGTGTGATTCTGGTTTAATGAGTTAATTTAGTTCAATTAGGTTCAGGTTTCTCATGTATAAAATGGGATTACAGGAGCTGCCCTTCCTGCTTCACATGAACTATATTTATGTAAGTGTTTTAAAGGCAGGACATACTAAATCAATGTAAAGCACTAGTATTATTATTAATAACATTAATTATTAATGGCAGCTGGGTGTACCATTTCATTTGGTCGAGCATATAAGGTGTAGACTTTTGCTATTTTATCTTAGGATAAAATCAATTTTATGATCCTGAGTTTTTCTCTTACCTGTCCTTGAGATACTCTAATTCAGTGTTATCTGAAGCAGTCAGCAGATTTAGAATTCTGATAGAAGTTTAAAGTCTTCTCTTTACAAATTTATGGAGTTTCTTGAGTTGAATAACAGTTCTACTTGAGTATTATAATAGTTAACAATTATTTAACTTGTGGCAGTATTGAATGTTGGGAAATTTTTTTTTAACTTTTATTACCGTGTTACCCTGAAAATAAGATCTAACCAGAAAATAAGCCCTAGCATGATTTTCAGGGTGCTTGTAATATAAGCCCTACCCCAAAATAAGCCCCAGTTAGGATCCTCAGCCAAACATGATTGTATTTGAATAAATGTAGATTTTTGTACATGAATAAATGAATAAAATGCATCTTTTGGAGCAAAAATTAATATAATACCCAGTCTTATTTTCAGGAAAACACAGGGTAAAGAAACTTCTAGTGAAATACAGCATGAGTAATACAGGTACAGAGTAGGAAACTAGAGTGGAGTAAATCAATCCAACTCTTACCTAACTAGCTTCAATGACACAAAGCATTTTTCTGAAGCTTGTTTTCTAATTAGTTTTAAATACTGATTTTCTTAAGGTATGAAATAAATATAAACTGTCCTCCATTCCATTCCTCTTTTTTTTTTTTTAAGAAATTTTACTGGGTAACTGTGTTTTGGGCCGGCCGAGTGGCGCGATGGTTAAGAACTGGCTTGGGATGCCAGAGGGCCCC